CTGTTCATGCACAGAAAAAGGGATAAAGAAACTACAGTACACAAAGGAATCCTCTTCGGCCACAGAAATTCATGAAACCATGTCATCTGCAGCAACGTGCAGAAATTGGAGGACATGACCTTCAACAAAATGAACCAGGAAGAGAAACGCAAACACGGCATGATTTCATGCATGTGAGAACGACATCAACTTTCTCTCTAAATGACTTCATCTCCTAGACACAGAAAGTTCCACAGTGGTGAAGAGAGGCTGGTGGTGGGGGAGCAGGGGCAGGAACTGGGAAACGCATACAATGTTACACTCAGATGACAGAAATAAATTCAGCTGTTCTACTCCCCAGCAGGGTGTCTAGACTTAACAGTATCCCACCACATTTTCCAAAAAAAGGCTGAAAAGAAGGACTCTGAATATTGCAACCACAGAGAACTAATAAATAATAACTACACAAGGTAACAGAGACAGTCAATGCCTTCCTTTGATCATTACACAAGGTATATATGCATGGATTAAAATGTCCCACTCTACTCTTTAATTGTATACTTTTACTACAGGACAAATTGTTTTTAAGGGCCTAGAAAGAAACAATGCTGAAGTTCATCTGAGACCAGGAAATGCCCTGCATTTCCAAAGCAATTCTGAGAAATCCAAACTACACTGGATGCATCACACTCTCTAATTTGAAATTTCACTAAAACTCTAGGAACCTGCTTCCGAATGGATGAGTGGAAGAGAACACAGAACCTGAAGTAAACCCACACACCTCATACCACCTGATTCTGGATGAAACACACAATAAGTAACAGGGAAAGAACTCCCCTTTCAATAGTCTTGGGATAAGTGGTGAGCCATATGCGGAAGAGTAAGTAACACTAGGCCTCTACTTCTCACCATCTACCAAAGATCACTCAGATGAATAAAAGATGTAAATGGAAGACCTCAAAGTACAAAAATCCTACAAGAGACCCTATATCAGCTTTGATAAAGCATTTATATGCCTAAGACCCCACATGACACTGCAACAAAAGCAATAATCGACATGTGGGACCTGATACACTAAAGAACCACCACACAACACAAGAAATCACCCACAGAGTAGACAGACGACATACAGGATGCGAGAAAATGTTCCCAAACTATGCACCTGACCAAGGTCTAATATCCAGAAACAACCTTAAAGACCTTACACAAATCAATTAGCAAAACCCTCCAAATAACTAATAAATAGGCAATGGATATAAACACACACTTCTCGAAAGATGATGTTCAAGCAAGCAACAAGTGTGAAAACATGCTAAACCTAATTGTCAGAGAAATATAAATCAAATGCAAAATAAGATATCACCTCACGCTGGTCAGAATGGTGATTACACAGTTTAAAAAAAAAAATAGAACACTGGAGAGGCAGCAGAGAAAGGGGACACTGGTCCACTTTTGGTGAAAATGCAAAGTAGTTCAGACACCATGGAAAGCACTTCTGAGATTGCTCAAAGAACTTAAACCGGAACTACCATCTGACACAGCAAGCCCACCACTGGGGTATACACAAAGGAAAATAAATCCTGTCCAAAACACACATGCACACAAACGGTCCTGGCGGCACACTTTACAATGGCAAACACGTGAAATCAACCTAGGTATCCATCAACAGTGGATCAGAAAAGGAAAATGTGGTACATACATACCACAAAAAACTAGACAGCCATAAAAAAAAAACAAGGAAATCATGTCCTTGGCAGCAACATACAAGGAGCTGGAGGCCATTATCTAAAGAGAAATAAGGAAAAAAAGAACACCAGATGCCACATGTTCTCACTTCTAAGGTGGAGCTAACACTGAATACACCCTACCATAAAAGTGAAAACAACAGACACTGCTGACTATCAGATGAAAAAGGAAGAACGGACTACGTATGGGCTAAAGACCTATCTCGTGCGTCCACCCACTTCCTGAATGATAAGGTCTCTGGGACCGCAAGTCTCAGTATCAGGCAATATACCAAAAGCAGTAAGTAATCTGCCTTGTACCTTTTAATCTATAATAAATGTAGAAATTATGTTAAAAAATACAAACTTAGAAGCTAAAAAAATGAATGAAAAACACAAACTTATAATTATCCAAACAATATTTTATTGGCATAAACTAAGGAAGTGGTCAGAATGAGTAAACCAAATACTCAACCCCAATGTACATATAGTGAACACATTTTTTTCAAAAGGACACCAAAAAGACAAAATGGGCAAAACAGAGCCTGTTCAATAGATGATTTTGAGCAAACTGAATATTCACATACAAAACGCTGAAACAGGACCCTTATGTCATGCAACACAAAAATCAATGCAAAATACATTAAAGACCTAAAACTCAATTCTGAAACCACAAAACTCCTACAAGAAAACAAAGGGTGTGCACGTATTTTAGAAAACAAATCCATGCAAGTAGGCTGCTATAGGTATTTAAAAAACACTAAAAGCAAACACTCTAAGAAAACACCCATAGACAATGTAATGGCTTCGCATTTTCACTTTTCAGTTGAGGACTCGGTTCCCCAGAACAGTGGGACGGATTAGAAGACCCAGATGTAGGCCAGGCGCGGTGGCCAAGCCTGTAATCCCAGCACTTTGGGAGGCCGAAACGGGCGGATCACGAGTTCAGGAGATCGAGACTATCCTGGCTAACATGGTGAAACCCCGTCTCTACTGAAAAATACAAAAAACTAGCCGGGTGAGGTGGCGGGCGCCTGTAGTCCCAGCTACTTGGGAGGCTGAGGCAGGAGAATGGCGTAGACCCGGGAGGTGGAGTTTGCAGTGAGCCGAGATCGTGCCACTGGACTCCAGCCTGGGCCACAGGGTGAGACTCCGTCCCAAAAAAAAAAAAAAAAAAAAAAAAAAGGAAGACCCAGATGTAAACCTGCACACCTGAAACCATCTGATATTTGAAAAAAAATCAACAAAAATAAGCAATGGAGAAAGGACTGCCTATCAGTAAGTGGTGCTGGGATAAGTGGCTAGCTAGATGCAGAGGAAATAACACTGGGCCCCTGTGTCTCACCATGTACAGAAAGCAACTCAAAACGAATCAAAGATTGAAATGCCAAACCTCAGGCCAGGATTGGTGGCTCATGCCTGCAATCCAAGCACTCCTGGAGTCCGAGGTGGGCAGATGACTTGAGGTTGGGGAGTTTGAGACCACCCTGGTTGACATGGTGAAATCCTGTCTCTAATAAAAAAACAAAACTTAGCTGTACATGGTGCCTGTACTCCCAGCAACTCAGGACACTGAGGCAGGAGAATCACTTGAACCCAGAAGGTGGAGGGTCGAGTGAGCCAAGATCGCTCCATTGCATTCCAGCCTGTACAACAGAGCGAGACTCAGTCTCTAAATAAATACATAAATACAAAAAAATCCAAGACCTGAAACTATAAAAAAATCCTGCATGAGAATCTAGCAAATACCCTTCTCAACAGAGGCTTTGGTAAAGCATTTATATGTCAAGTCCCCAAAAGCAATGGCAACAACAGCACTTACTGGTAAGTGGGACCTAATACACAAAAGAGCTGCTGCACAGAACAAGAAAAAACCAACAGAGTCAACACACGGCCTATAGAATGAGGGAAAATATTCAACTACGCATCTGAAAAACGTCTAATATCCAGGATTTATCATAAAGACGTTAAACAAATAATATCAGAAAAAAAAAACCCCAACTTATAAATGAGCAAGGGACATGAACACACACTTAAAAGGAGGTGTACCAGTAACCAATGAGAATAAAAACATGTTCGATCTCACTGATCATCAGAGAAATGCAAATCAGAAACATACTGAGATACCATCTCACACTGGTCAGAATGGCAATTATGACACACAGTCCACAAACAGAGGCTGGTGGGGCAGATGAGCAAAGAAATGCAGGTCCACTGTAGGGGGAAATGTAAACTAGTTCAGACACCCTGGAGAGCAGTGTGGACATTTCTCAAACAACTTAAAAGAGAATTACCACCCAGCACTGCAACCCCACTCCTAAGGATCTACCCAAAGGAAAATCCTTCCATACAAAACACACATGCACTTGTATGTTCACAGCAGTACTACTCACAATGGTAAAGACATGGAATCAGCCTTGGTGCCCATCAGCAGTGGATCAGAGAAAGGAAATGTGGTACATACACACCATGGAACACTACACAGCCATAAAAAACAAATCCATGCCCTTACCAGAAACGTGGACAGAGGTGTAGGCCATTATGCCAAAAGGCAAGAACAGAAAACCACAATTTTCAAAACAGCTACAAAGTTCAGTTGTGAATATTCTCTCCACAGAGAAATCATAAGTCTGGAGCTCACAGAGATGCCAGACACTGTGACTTCATTATGATGCTATGTTTACGCAGATCAAATTGTTCCTTGCACCTGCTGGTTACATACACATACTCTACAGCAATGAAATTGTTGTCCCATTTTGGTAACATGCGTTCTCACCAGAGTGAGATGATATCTGAGTGTGGTTTTGATTGACTTCTCATGAGGATCAGTAATGTTGATTCAGAATCTTTAATCTGTGCATCCATCTCAGGTCTTCACGTCCTTTGCCCACTCTTACACATCAAACTGAAACAAGCTCACAATAACCTGGCAAACATCACTAACCACAAGCAAAATGTAAAACAAAAACCACACTTAGACACCATCTCATTCTAATTGGAATGAGTGTTACAAAAAAAGAAAAAAAACATTGAAAGAAAGGGAAATGCTGGCGTGTTTCCAGAGACAAAGAGAGACACTCTTCTCCACAGTTCGTGAGAAGGTAATCTAGCACACACACTACAGAAACCACTTGGATGTTCTTCCAAACCTTAAAAGACTCCAATTACCATTTCAACCAGCAATTCTACTACTAGGAATACACTCAAAGTCATTGAAATCAGGACACCAAAGATAGATCTACCCACCCATGTGGATTCCAGCACTTTTCCTAAGAGCCAGTGTAAGCATCAACCTACCTGCTTATCCACAGACGAAGGGAGAAAGAAACTGTTCCACATGTTCACACCGGGATACTCTTCAGACAGAAAACCACAATGAAATCATATCATGGGGAACCACACGGTTGCACCTGGAGGAGATGGTGGTAAATTAAATGAGCAAAGGGGGAGAGAAACAAACCTTGAGTCATCTCACACATGCAGAATCTGAGAAACTATCTCAAACACCTGACGAGCACAATATCGGTTTCCTGAGATTGGGGGAAAAGAGGGGTAATGGGCATGGATTGTAAAAGGGTACAAAGTTACACATCAATGAGAGGAAGAAAATTCTGTTGTTCTATTCCACTGCAGGGTGACCAGGGTTAACAGTATCGGCACATCACTTTCAAAGCAGCTTGACAGAATACTGAAGGTTCTCAGCATAAAGGAATAAACAATCGGAAAAGGTAACAGAAACACTAAGTACCCTGATTTCATCATTCCACAATGTATGCATGGGCCATAACGCCCCACTCTACCCTCTCGTTCTATTGTTTCTTTACTATGAAACACATTTGCTGAAAGAAATAGAAATACGCACTGCTGATTCAGGTGGGACCATGAAGCTCCCTGAGTTTCATCCTCTGCAATCCTGAGACATCCAGACTACATCGGACACATCACATTTCCTGATTTCAAATTTCACGGAAAAGCTAGGGACCCACTTCCACACAGAGCAGTGGAACACAAGAGAGGACCAAGAAGTAAAACCACACACTGAAAACTATCTGATCTAACACAAGATCCACAAAAGAAAGCAAAGGGAAAAGGACACCCTACTCAATCAATGGTGTTGAAATATGCAGCTAGCCATGTGCAGAAGAATAACACTAGGCCCCTACCTCTCACCAGACACAAAGAGGAACTCAAGATGAATAAAACATATAAACGTAAAAACTCAAACTATTAAAATCTTACTAAAAACTTGTGAAATATCCTTCTCCACATAGGCTTTGGCAAAGCATTTAGATGGCTAAGTCCTAAAGAGCAACAGCAACAAAAACAAACACTGACAAGTCAGACCGAATACCCGAATACCTGAAAGAGCCGCTGCACAGCAAGAGAGACTACAACAGAGTAAACAGACAGCAACAGAGAATGGGAGAACATGTTCCCGAACTGTGCATCTGACCAATGTCTAATATGCAGAATCTACAAGGACCTTCAACAAGTCAACCAAGAGAATAAACAGAAAAAGAATATCCCATTAATAAACAGGCCAGGGATGTGAACACACACTTCTCAAAAGTCGATGTACAAGCAACTAACAAATAGGAAAACATGCTCAAACTCACTCATTACCAGAGAGCTGCCAATCAAAAGCATGATGAGATGCCATCCCTCGCAGGTCACAAGGGTGATGCCCACACAGACAAGGAACACACGCTGGTGAGGCAGCCGAGAAAACGAAATGCTGGTGCGTTTTGGTGGGGATGAAAACTAGTACAGACACCAGTGAAAGCAGATCGGGGATTTCTCAAAGAGCTGCAAACAGAACTACCATCTCACCCAGTAAGCCCACTCCTGTGCATCTACCCAAAGGAAAATCAATCCTTCTATCCAAAAGACACAGGCACTCATACGTTCATGGCAGTATTATTCACATTTTCAAAGACATGGAATCAACCTAGCCATCAACAGTGGATGAGAGGCCGGCACAGAGGCTCACACCTATAATTCTAGAACTTTGGGAAGCCGAGGCAGATGGATCACTTCAGTCCAGAATTTAAGACCAGTCTGAGCACAATGGCGAAATCCCATGTCTATAATACAAAAATTAGCTGGATATGGTGGTGGGCACCTGTAGTCCTATCTAATCCGGCGGCTGAGGTGGGAGGATCACCTGAGAACAGAAGGAGGAAACTGCAGACCACTGGAACTAAGGCCCAAATAGTAAACCAAACGCCACATGTTCTCACTTATAAGCGGGAGCTAAACTTTGAATAGACTCAAACATAAAGAAGAGAACAAGAGACACCTGGAATGACCACCAGACCAATAAAAAACAGGGGAGAGGGAGCGTGTGCTGAAGACCCACCCTGTGGGCCCTCTGCTCACTGCCTGGGTTATGGGGTTGTCGGGACCCCAAGTCTCAGCGTCATGCAATCAACAGATGTAACTAACTTGCATATGTACCCTTTAAACTATAATAATAAGAGTAGAAAGCACTAAAAGAAAAATCCAAGGTTAGAACCAAAGAAAATAATAAATGAAAAAAACAATCTGTAGTTATTCAAACAATCCATGACTGTCACAAACACAGAACGAGGACCTAAGTGACAGAATGAGGCAGCCAAATACTCTATTCAACATGATACGTAGGGAACACAGTTTTCAAAACCCCAAAAAGATACAATGGGAAAGTGAGTCTGGTTCAATTATTGATTTTGAGAAAACTGAATATCCACAGGAAAAACACTGAAATAGGACCCTTACAATGCACGATACACAAAATCAACACAAAATGAAGTAAAGACCTAAACTCAATCTTGAAACTGTAAAGGTCCTCTAAGAAAACATAGAGTGGGTGTATATTTTAGGAAACCCTGTATCTATGCAAACAGGCTGCAAAAGGTAAAAAAGCATAACACTAAAAAAAAAGTAGGAAAACTACACCCATAGACAATGCAAGGATTGGCTCCGTGTGTGTGAGTGTGTGGGCGCGCACGCGTGCAGGCACACGCATGTTTGTGTGCTTTGTGGAAGTGGGGTGTTGAACACAAAAGTCACTGCTAACGTACGCAACTATAACCATGTGAGACTAGGTACACTTTATAAATTCTACAGGGAAAAGAAAACAATGAAACAAAAAAAGGAATCCTAAAGACTGGGAGAAATGAAAAAAAAATCCTAACCCTGAAAGAGGTTATTATCTAACACAGACAATAAACTAATATGACTAAGTGAAAAACAACAAGAACAAAAACAACAAATATCCAAGGTAAAAGGATCTAAATAGACCTGAGAGAAAAGAAAGCAGGAAACTGACCCACAGGTAACAGTTCCTCAATATCACTAATCCTCACAAAAACATGAATCAAAACCATACTCAGTTACCATCTAATTCCACCTAGAATGAGTAATACAAAAGACAAAAATCAAAACTGTTGAAGGCAATGGTCAGTGTAGACTTGCAGAAAAAAAAATCTTCTACACTCTTTGTGGAATGAAAGTTACTATACACACTACAAAAACTTTTGGAAGTTCCTTAAAAAAGTAAAAGGTAGGCTGGGCGCGGTGGCTCACACCTGTAATCTCAGCACTTTCGGAGGCCGAGGCAGTAGGATCACCTGAGGTGGCCGAGGCAGTTGGATCACCTGAGGTCAGGAGTTCGAGACCAGCCTCACCAATATGGTGAAATCCCGTCTCTACTGAAAATATAAAAATTAGCTAGGCGTGGTTGCAGGTGCCTGTATGCCCAGTCACTCTGGAGGCTTAAGCAGGAGAATGGCTTGAACACAGGAAGCAGAGCTTGCATTGAGCCGAAATCGCGCCACTGCACTCCAGCCTGAGCGACAAGAGCAAGACTCCATCTTTAAAAAATAAAAAACTAAAGGTAAAAGTACAACTGCCACTCCAGCTAACAATCCCACCACTGGGTACACGTTTAGAGAAAATGAAATCCCTGTGTTATCTGCCTTTTCATGTGTCCTGAAGCACTAGTCACAACAGCCAAGATGCAGAATCAACCTACCTGTCTATCCACAGATGAATGGATAAAGGAACCACAGTATATATACACAAGGAAACACACTTCAGCTGTAACACTTCAGGAAATCATGTCATCTGCAACCACTTGGAGAAACCTGGAAAACAATTAGGTAAAATGAAACGAGTCTGCTAGGGAGAGACCCACGCTGCATGACATCAGACATACGAGGAAATATGTCTGATGTCATACAGGAAACTATTTTCCTGTATGAGGATGAGTCTAGGCAAGGTGGTTCATGTGTGTAATCCCAGCACCTTGGGAGGCTGAGGTGGGCAGATCATCTGAGGCCAGAAGTTGGAGACCATCCTGGTGAATATAGCAAAACCCCGCCTGTACTAAAAAATACAAAAATTAGCTGGGCATGATGGCACACACTTGTAATTCTAGCTACTTGGGGGGCAGAGGCACAAAAATCACTTGAACCTGGGAGACAAAGGTTGCAGGAAGCCAAGATCATGCCGCTGCACTCCAGCCTGGGCAACAGAGCGGAACTCTGTCTCAAAATAAACAGAAACAAAAACAAAAAAGTCCCAGTTAAGAAAAATGTCCCAGGCCGGGCGCGGTGGCTCAAGCCTGTAATCCCAGCACTTTGGGAGGCCGAGACGGGCGGATCACGAGGTCAGGAGATCGAGACCATCCTGGCTAACACAGTGAAACCCCGTCTCTACTAAAAAATACAAAAAAAACTAGCCGGGCGAGGTGGCGGGCACCTGTAGTCCCAACTACTCGGGAGGCTGAGGCCGGAGAATGGCGTGAACCCAGGAGGCGGAGCTTGCAGTGAGCTGAGATCCGGCCACTGCACTCCAGCCTGGGCGACAGAGCGAGACTCCGTCTCAAAAAAAAAAAGAAAAATGTCCCAGTATACTCTCTGCTTATGTGCCTTATTATAGACAAAACATTGAAGAAGTATAGGCCAGGCGCAGTGGCTCACGCCTGTAATCCCAGCACTTTGGGAGGCCCAGGTGGGTGGATCTCCAGGTCAGGAGATTGAGACCATCCTGGCCAACATGAAGACACCCAGTCTCTACTAAAATACAAAAAAAAAAAAAAAAAAAAAAAAATTAGCCAGGCGTGGTGGCACGCACCTTACTCCCAGCTAGCCCCAGCTACTCGGGAGGCTGAGGCAGGGGAATCGCTTGAACCTGGGAGGTGGAGGTTGCACTCTAGCCTGGTGACAGAGCAAGACTCCATCCAAAAAGAAAAAACAAAAGTGTAAATACACAATGTTAATATTAACATGGGGCCACAAACAGCCCTGAACATCTAAGGAATCCTGAGAAATACAAACTAAGTTGGAAGAATCACAATTCCTGATATCAAATTGAGTTTCAAAGGTGTAGATAGCCAATATTCCAATACACATGGTCGTGTGATTTGCCACTGTGCTCCAGCTTGGGTGGGGGTGACTTGTCTCAAAAAAGAAAAAGATTGGCTGGGCGCAGTCACTCACGCCTGTAATCCCACCACTTTGGGAGGCCGAGGCGGGCAGATCACGAGGTCAGGAGACCGAGACTATCCTGGCTAACACGGTGAAACCCCGTTTCTACTAAAAATACAAAAAATCAGCCAGGCGTGGTGGCGGGTGCCTGTAGTCCCAGCTACTCTGGAGGCTAAGGCAGGAGAATGGCATGAACCTGGTAGGCGGAGCTTCCAGTGAGCTGAGATCGCGCCACTGCACTCCAGCCTGGGCAACAGAGCGAGGCTCTGTCTCACAAAAAAAAAAAAAAAAGAAAAAGAAAAAGAAAGAAAAAGATGGGGAGAAAATAGTAGGGAATCACAGAAGTGATAATTGATTGTTATCAAACACGAACACAGAAAAAAAAAAATACCAAACAGCATGAAAAATGCATATCCAAACTAAAATTGGGCAAAAAATCTCAATAGACATCGCTGTATAAATGACATAAAATGCACAAACATGTAAGAAAAAAGGTCCTCACATTATTATTCATCAGAAAAGAATGTACTCCAAAACCACATTCAGATACCATCCCACACGTATCTACTGGAATACATGTTACTGAAAATATCTTAAAAATTAAAAAGAATGCTGATGTGGATTTGGATAAAAGGGAAATCTTATACACTATTGCTGTAAAGATAATTTAGGATACACACCATGGAAAAAAGTTGTAGGCCACGTGCGGCGGCTGACGCCTGTAATCTCAGCACTTTGGGAGGCCGAGGCAGGCGGATCACCAGGTCAGGAAATCAAGACCATCCTGGTTAACACGGTGAAACCCCGTCTCTGCTAAAAATACAAAAAATTAGCCAGGCGTGGTGGCGGGTGCCTGTAGTCCTAGCTACTCAGGAGGCTGAGGCAGGAAAATTGCTTAAACCCGGGAGGTGGACTTGCAGTGAGCCCAGATCACACCACTACACTCTAGCCTGGGTGACAGAGTGAGACCCCGTCTCCAAAAAAAAAAAAAAAAAAAAAGTGGTAGATTCCTCAAAAAACTGAAAACGCAACTACCATATGATCCAGCAATCCCACTACTGGGTATACCTCCAAAGCAAACGAAAACCGTATCAGAGATCACAAAGCCTCAATGGGGATAGGAGATTTTCTTCATTAAATCGTTCTGAGAAAACTGATGTTTATATGAAAAAGAACGAAATAAGACCCTTCTGGTATAGAACACACAAAAATCAACTCGAAATGGATTGAAGACCTAAACACAAGACCTGAAATTATACATCATCATCAAACGTCTGTAAGAAAAACGGGGGTGGGGTATGGCGGAGCCCTTAGTTTTGGGACAACTTGCAGATATCTAGGCTCACAGGTTGGAAACGGGAAAAGAAAAAAACGAGGAAAAAAAAAAAAAAGAAAGCAGAGGGTAAAACCTCGTCGAGAAGGGAATGGCTTGTGAATATATTTATTTTTTAAATTGGGAAAGCAAATCACAGGTAACAAAAGCAAAAACAACCATGTGGGGCTACATTCAACTGGAAAACTTCTGTACAGAAAGAAAACAGTGAACCAAATGAAAACCAATCCTACAAATGGGGAGAAAGTTTGGGGGAAGTATGTATCTCCTAAGGGATTGTTACAAAAAACACGCAATACCTCAACAGTGCTCAACAGCAATAACAAGATCATCAACCCCAAAGTTGGCAGGGCCCAGCACAGACATTTCTGCACAGGGGACATAACACTGAGCAGCATGGACAGAACCAGGTCCTCAGCATCGCCATCACCAGGGACAACTCCCCGTCAGGCTCACACCCGGGTGTCCCTCCCTCCCGGTCAGGTGGTCGTGATCAGACAGACAGAAGGGGACACAGGCTTCCCTGAAGGCCAGGGGTGGGGGATGAAAGAGTCCCAGACACGAAGGCGGGAAGGCAAATTTAAAAATTCATCAAATCCTGGAGGCAGCTGGCCTCTTTCTTCCTCCGTCTGAGGCCTGGCCAGGAGGCAGCCAAACACCAGGCCTGGTCCCAACTCCCACCTGGGCCGGGCTTCCCCTTCCTCCTGGGGCTTTCCTCTCTCCCCATCTATACGGGACAGGTTCCCTCAGAAAAAGTCCTCGAACCCTAAAAATACCACAGTCTGCTATACTTGCCACCCTCAAAAGCCCTCCGGGAACAAAACCCATGGTAAAACAAATACCAAAATACTAGAAGAGAAAGAGGAAAACTATGGAGAAGAGGAGAATACAGGGAACGTTCCAGAAAACAAGCTTCTGTACTCACCATGTAGGAAAAAAATGCCCGGGAGAAGGTGAGTTGCACGCAGCTCCCACCTAGGCAGTCAGGGCCACAGGCAGGAGCTGTTTCCTCCCCAGGACAAGTCTCCAAATCGTTCCCAAACCGCAGCGGTGCCTTCTCAAGCGGATCCTGAAAGAGCCAGAGATGCTCTCCTTCTACTCAATATGGACGCCACGCCACGCACAACACGCAGCGGCTGTGGTGAGAACACGCATGCGCACCACGTGGGGGCAGAAAAGGCTGTTTCAGCGCCCCCTGCCAGTCACAGTGCACAGTGCAGGATGATCAGCCTCATGGTCGGCATCACCCCAGGCCAGTCTAGGTAGGGTAGAAGTGTGGGTTGTGGGACACCCGGGAGCAGGAACTCCCCAACCTATGCATGTGGACCTCCCCCTGTGAAGCTCCTTTTTTTTTTTTTTGGACAGGGTCTCACTCTGTCACGCAGGATGAAGTACAGTGGTGCAATCACCATTGACTGCAGCCTCAACCTCCCAAACCCAAGTGATCCTTCCATCTCAGGTTTCTAAGTACCTCCGAATCTCCATTGTTGGGTGCATATGTATTCGGAATAAGTAAGTCTTCTTGTTGGATTGTACCCTTTATAATTATGTAATGGCCTTCATCATCCTACTTAATTTTGATTGTTTTAGAGTCTGTTCTATTTAATTTTAGAATAACAACTCCTAGCTGGGCACGGCGGCTCATGCCTGTAATCTCAGCACTTTGGGAAGCCAAGGCAGGTGGATCACCTGAGGTGAGGAGTTCAAGAGCAGCCCGGGCCAGGCGCGGTGGCTCAAGCCTGTAATCCCAGCACTTTGGGAGGCCGAGAGGGGTGGATCACAAGGTCAGGAGATTGAGACCATCCTGGCTAACACGGTGAAACCCCATCTCTACTAAAAAAAAATACAAAAAACTAGCTGGGCGAGGTGGAGGGCGCCTGTAGTCCCAGCTACAGTGAGCTGAGATTCGGTCACTGCACTCCAGCCTGGGCGACAGAGCGAGAGTCCATCTCAAAAAAAAAAAAAAAAAAAAAAAAAAAAAAAAAGAGCAGCCTGGCCAACACGGTAAAGCCCCGTCACTACTAAAAATACAAAAATTAGCTGGGCGTGGTGGGACACACCTGTCATCTCAGCTACTCAGGAGGCTGTGCCAGGAGAACCGCTTGAACCCGGGAGATGGACGTCACAGTGAGCCGAGATCACGCCACTGTGCTGCAGCCTGGGGGACAAAGCAAGACTCCGTTTCAGAAAGGAAGGAAAAAAAAAAAAAGAATAGCAACTCCCGGGCCAGGTATAGTGGCTTATGCCTATAATCCCAACACTCTGGGTGGCCAAGACAGGTGGATCATTTGAGCTCAGGAGTTTGAGACCAGTATGGGTAACGTGGTAAAAATGCATCTCTACCAAAGAGTAGGAAACTTAGCCTGGTGTGGAGGTGTGCACCTGTAGTCCCAGCTACTGGAGAGGCTGAGGTGGGAGGATCACTTGAACCTAGAAGGTTGAGGCTGCAGTGAGCCATAATTACAACACTGTACTCCAACCTGGGCAACAGAGTGAGACACTGTCTCAAAAAAAGAAAAAAAAAATGAAGAAAAAAAAATAGTGAGTCCTACTGTTTTTTTTTTGTTTGTTTGTTTGTTTGTTTTTTGGATTGCATGGCAGATATTTCTCCATCCCTTTACTTGGAGCCTGTAGATGTTGTCACGTGTGAGACAACTCTTGAATATGGTTGAGTCCTGTCTTTATATCCAGCATATCTCTGATCAAAGATTTAAATGCAAGACCTCAAACCACAAGAGCTCTATGAAGAAGAAAACCTAGGAAATACTGTTCAGGACATCAGCCCAGAGGAAGAATTTACAACTACGTCCTCAAAAGCAATTGCAACCAAACCAAAAATTGACAACTGTGACCTAATTAAACTAAAGAGCTTCCACACAGGAAAAGAAACTCAACAGAGTAAACAGCCAGCCTACAGAATGGGAAAAAATATTCACAAACTGCATCTGACAAAGGTCTAATATCCAGAATCTATAAGATACTTTAAACAAATCTGGAAGCAAAAAGCAAACAACCCTGTGAAAAACTGGGCAAAGGATGTGAACGGGCATTTCTCAAAGGAACACATACAATCACCCAGCAAACATAGGAAAAAATGCTTAACATCACTAATCATCAGAGTAATGAACATTGAAACCACCATGAGATACCATCTCACACCAGTCAGAATGGCTATCATCAAAGGAAAAAAATAACAGATGCTGGCAAGGCTATAGAGACAGGGGAACACTTATACCCTGTTGGTGTGATTGTAAATTTGTTCAGCCATGATGGAAAGCAGTTTGAAGATTTTTCAAAGAACTTAGAAAAGAACTACCATTCAATCCAGCAATCCCATGACTGGGTATATCTGCAAAGGAAGATACGTCATTCCAAAAATAAAAATAAAAGACACTTGCACCTGTATGTTCATCACGTGAAGGGACAAGTACTGAAAATCCACCTATTGCGTTGTACCTGGGTCCTGCGGAATCATTCATACCCCAGACCTTAGCGTCGTACAATATCCCCACGTAACAAACCTGCACATGTACCCCATGAATCTAAAGTGAAAGTTTTTGAAAATCTCATGGGATTCATTGGAGGAATTATCAAGTTGAGTCCATCCATGCCCCATTCAAAATCCATACCACATTCAAAGCAGAATGAAAGGAGGATACTGAAGGTTCTCACCACAAGAGAACAAACAATGGGAAAAGGCAACAGAAACACTAAATACCCTGATTTCATCATTCCACAGTGTATGCATGGACCGTAACGCCCCACTCTACCCTCTCATTGTATTGTTCCTTTACCCTCTCCTTGTATTGTTTCTTTACACTCTAACCTCTCATTGTATTGTTCCTAACACATTGGTTGAAAGAACTATAAATACATGATGCTAATATTCACGTGGGACCATAAAGGGCCCTGAGTTTCATCCTCAGCAATCCTGAAACATCCAGACTACGTCGGATATATCACACTCCCCAATTTCAAATTTCATGGAAATGCTAAGGACGAACTTCCACACAGAGCAGTGGAATGCAAAAGAGGACCAAGAAGTAAACCCACACACTGAAAACTCTCTGATCTAACACAGAATCCACAAAAGTAAGCAAAGGGAAAAGGACGCCATATTCAACCAATGGTGCTGAAATAAGCTGCTAGCCATGTGCAGAAGAATAACACCGGGCTCTTACCTTTCACCAGACACAAAGAGGAACTCAAGATGAATGAAAGATTTCAACATAAAAGCTCAAGCTGTTAAAATCTTACTAGAATATTTGTGAAATATCTTTCTTCACATTGGCTTTGGCAAAGCATTTAGATGGCTAAATCCTGAAGAACAATGGCAACGAAAACAAAAATTGACAAGGCAGACCTAATATCTCAAAGAGGTGCTGCACGGCAAGAGAGACTACGCACAGAGTTAACAGACAGCGTACAGAATGGGAGAACACGTTCCCAAACTGTGCATCTGACCAATGTCCAACATGCAGAATCTACAAGGCCCTTTAACAAGTCAACCACAGGAATAAACAGAAAAAGAATATCCCATTAATAAACGGGCAAGGGATGTGAACACACACTTCTCAAAAGTCGATGTGCAAGCAACCAACAAATAGGAAAACATGCTCAAACTCACTCATCAGAGAGCTGCCAATCAAAAGCATGATGAGATGCCATCCCATGCAGGTCACAAGGGTGAGGACCACACAGGCAAAGAACACACGCTGGAGAGGCAGCTGAGGAAAAGAAACGCTGGTACGCTTTCAGGGGGATGAAAACTAGTACAGACACTGTCGAAAGCAGATTGGGGATTTCTCAAAGAGCTGAAAACAGAACTACCATCTCACCCAGTAAGCCCTCTCCTGTGCATCTACCCAAAGGAAAATCAATCCTTCTATCCGAAAGACACAGGCACTCGTATGTTCATGGCAGTGTTATTCACAATGTCAAAGACACGGAATCAACCTAGCCATCAACAGTGGATGAGAGGCCAGCACAGTGGCTCACACATGTTATTCTAGAACTTTGGGAAGCCGAGGCAGGTGGATCACTTCAGTTCAGAATTCAAGACCAGCCTGGACAAAATGGTGAAATCCCATCTCTACAACTGCACAAAAATTAGCTGGATGTGGTAGCGGGCACCTGTAGTCCTATCTAATCCAGAGGCTGAGGTGGGAGGATCACCTGAGAACAGAAGATGGAAACTGCAGGTGACTGTCATAAGTGAACTGAGGCCCAAATAGAAAACCAAATGTCACGGGTTCTCATTTATAAGCAGAAGCTAAATTTTGTATGCACTGAAACATAAAAAAGAGAACAACAGACACCTGGAATGACCACCAGACCCCCCCCCAAAAAAAGGAGAGGGAGCGTGTGCTGAGGGCCCACCCTGTTGGCCCTCTGCTTGCTGCCTGGGTTACGGGGCTGTTGGGACCCCAAGACTTAGCGTCATACAATCAACAGATGGAACTAACTTGACTATGTACATTTTAAAATAATGAGAGTAGAAAGCATGAAAAGAAAAATCCAAGGTAATGCTGGGCACTGTGGCTCATGCCTGTAATCCCAGAACTTTGGAAGGCCAAGGCGGGCAGATCACAAGGTCAGGAGTTCGAGAGAACCCTGGCCAATATGGTGAAACCCCGTCTCTACTAAAAATACAAAAACTAGCCAGGCGTGGTGGCGGGCGCCTGTAGTCCGAGCTACTTGGGAGGCTGAGGCAGGAGAACTGCTTGAACCCAGGAGGTGGAGGTCACAGTGAGCTGAGATCGTGCCACTGCACTCCGGTCTTGGCAACAAAGCAAGACTCCGTTAAAAAAAGGAAAAAAAAAAAGAAAAGAAAAGAAAGAAAAAATCCAAGGTTAGAAGCAAAGGAAATAATAACTGAAAAAACAACCTGTAGTTATCCAAACAATCCATGACTGTCACAAACAAGAAACAATCACCTAAGGGACAGAATGAGGTAGCCAAATACCCAACATAACATGATATGTAGGGAACACACTTTTTTTTTTTTTTTTTTTTTTTTTTAGACTGAGTCTTGCTTTGTGCCCCGGGCTGGAGTGCAGTGGCACGATCTCGGCTCACTGCAAGCTCTGCCTCCCGGGTTCACACCATTCTCCTGCCTCAGCCTCCCGAGTAGCTGGGACTACAGGCGCCCGCCACCTCACCCGGCTAGCTTTTTGGGGTTTTTTTGTTTTTTTTTTTTTTTTTAGTAGAGACGGGGTTTCACGGTATTAGCCAGGATGGTCTCGATCTCCTGACCTTGTGATCCGCCCGCCTCGGCCTCCCAAAGTGCTGGGATTACAGGCTTGAGCCACCGCGCCCGG